TCTGTCTGTGTGTGTGTGTGTGTGTGTGTGTGTGTGTGTTGTTCCAACACAAACCAAAGAAATGAACATGTGAGTACCAAAACATTTGCAACTGCAACAACTGCAATTTCTAAGAGAAGGGTTGCATTTTCTGACAGAATTGCAAGGGTGGCAATATTTTTGGCCATGACTGTAAGTAAGTGAACTGAACTGAAAGGGAAGGGAATAGGGAGATAACTGAACATGTCTTCTCATCTCTCTTATGGTCTTTTACATTTGTGTAGCTATTATTTCTACAGTTACAAGCTTATATGTGGGGGGCAGAGTGGGAGTGAAATGAAAGCTGATTTTCCAGTGCTATGTCATACTAGATTTAAATACAATTCTACAGGACCACTGTAGAAATTACACAGGGTATCCTATTCTTAATGTTAGGCTAAATTCAGCTGTTAGCAGATATACTGAATCAGTGGAACTTATATACATGTTGACTTAAGTCTCATTCATTCAATAGGGCTGCTCTAACTGGAATTAGTCATTGGATTTAGCCTCCACTTCTGGTCCAGCAGAGGCAGGAAATGTTAATTTTGAGGGACTAAAAACTCCCAGAAGGCCCCAACTATCAGGGCTGTTGATCATGCTGGCTAAATAGATACAGGTTTTTTTTAAAAGTTAGTTTCTGCAGCATAAGTGTCCCAATCATCCAAAGCAAGGAGAGTAGGTACAAAGAGAGTGGGCGCACTCTTACTAGAGCAATTACTTTTCTTTTCTTTTTTTTGCAAAAAAATGTAGCAGGGTTGGGTTGCACAGCCTATTTGAGGCAATTCCAGTTCTGACCTTTTTAATATATAGCTGTAAAGTTGTGTGGTGTATAAATCAGTATGTGTGTTCACATACTGATAGTCCACAAGGTCACATTCACACCCCGACTAGCTGCCTGGTGCCATCATTTTCACACCCCTAGCAATGGCCAGCTGGCTATTGGACCGCCCATGTTCCTAGCACACTGGCCATCCTGCCAGTCCTGGTACATCTGCTCTATACCTGCCAGTATGCTGCCCAGCTGCTGAACTATTCTCCATGTCTGGCCTGTTTGGTCTGTGCTCACCCTGCACTGACTCTGCACCCACAGGTTTTCTACTTCTCCGCTGGCTCCTACATCGGCCACAGATAGGTGGCTGCAGGGACAAATTTATTGATGAAGTGATGCAATGCTAAATATTTTCAGAATTTTTTTAAAAGGAAGATGGAAAATGGCTGTGCCCTTGCAACCGAAAATCCACATAGGCACAAATTAAAATGACAGCAATGTTTACATTCTGTTCACATCCACAAAACCGCATTGAATTGAACTGATTTAGAAGCAAAGTATTTTAAAAAGCCCTTGCCGGTCAGTAGAAAAAAAACATGCTTTGCAACCCAAATAAATCAATTTCACCCTTGCCTGAGAATTTATAAATCGATTTAAATAAGACTAAAATTGATTCAATTGTAGTTTTTATTGCCTATATGACTGAGCCATCAATTAAGCTTTCTTCCCAAATCATGTTCTTAGCTTCTTTCATTCTGAATTTCATTTTAGTCCATATGTCCAAAGATGTGTACATGATCCGAGAAAGGTCATATTAAAATGTCATAGTCTAAGATGCCAGGTGCTTTCGTCTTTTTTGTTTGTTTTGTTTTGTTTTGTTTTAGGGGTTTGTCTTTGGATTTTGCCTGATCTTTCCCTAATGATACTGACCAGCAGACCAGGCCAACATGTCCATGATTTCCCAGAGACGGTTAAGAAGTTTTTGTTTAGACAGGCTCTCACAGCATGATATGGTTGTTGGCTTTATTGCTGTCAGGAAATGGTTTTATTCCATGAGCTTTGACTCTTGTCAAACAGTTTTAATTGATTTTATTGTGTATTTTAATATTCTCTAAGCTATCTTGTGAGTTTATATCTTCAGCTGGAAGGTCGAAGATATCTATAGATCCATTGATAGATAAATACAGATATATTATATAGCTAGAGCATTTAGCTACATGGCTTGGATAAAACAGGGAAAGGTTGCTTCCTGTTAGTTGCATACCAACTTTGCATGCCATTTTCTTTAGAAAAGCAAGAAGTTCCGTAACACGTCAAGTAGGAAAGTATTAACACATTGTAAATCACAGCAGGCTCAGCATGCATTTCCTGATTAGCTAACAACAGGTAGTGGTTCACAAATTTAAGAGTGTATCTTGTTAGCAGTGTTCTTTGGGTCCACATGTTGTAGTCTAGCGTGGCTAGTACTGGTTGTACAAAAAGAAAAGATTTACTAGGAGCAGAAAATACTTGCAATGTAGATCACTTCGACAAATATTGACATTTAAATTATTTCTAACTGGGGAGAAGTCAAGAGACCTGTACTGTATTTTCTTTCTTATAATTTACAGCCTAGCTTGCTAACAAGGCTTTATAAAGAATATTGTATGTGTGTGTGTGTGTGTGTGTGTGCTTTATAAAGAATATTTTGTGTGTGTGTGTGTGTGTGTGTGCATGCGCACATGTATGTGCACATATGTATGTGTACTTATGCCATTAAGTCAGTTCCAACTTACAGCAACACTTCTTACCCAAGGCCAGAGAGGCTGGATTTTCTCCAGGGAAGCACAGTGAGGATTCGAACTCATGATCCTTGTCACTCCAACTCCTTGAGATATCCCGTCAGCCAAGATGATAATTACTTCACAGTATTTTAAGCCACATGTGATATGCTAGGGGGAAATAGAAAGAGTACTTTATGAATTTCACATCTTACTGTGCTCTGTTCTTAAAGAAGAGCACATGCGTAATCAAGAAACTGTGAAAAGCAGAGGTGGGGAACTTCTGGTCCAAAGGCTAAATATGTCTCTATGAATCACTCAGTATGGGCCCCCAGACAGTCTCTATGCCCTGCTTCCTCTGTGGCCTTACACCAGCTTACTGACATTATGTAGTCCATTCAAAAGTAGATGGAGTGACCTTTGTTGGAGCAGGAAAATACCTGGATTCAAATGTCTTCCTTCCATCTTCCAGCACTCATTACATATTGAAGAGAGGTAAGTGTTGTAACTCCTACAACATTTGTCTCTGGTGTTTCTCATTTTGGGCTCCTGCTACAGCCATTGATGAATACTTTACCCTAACCGTAGGCCCTAATAGTTTTCAACTAATATAATACAAACTTTGGAGGAAAAGAGGGTTCTTCTGTTCTATGGTACTGGACCTCCTGTCTGCATCTACCTTTCCACTCTGTTAATCCCACTTCCACCACTGATGCCCATAAGGCATTTGGCAACCTTGCAAAGACAATATATGGTGAAGCCATCACAAGTTTAAGCAGAGATCTGAAAGATATTCTGTCTTCAGGGTGGAGGGGACGTATTCTCCCCACACAAACTACTACTTCCCCTGTGTTCAGAGCCACATTTTATGAAGCAGAAATGTGCACTGTCTTTAGGTCAAAAGACCCAGAGACAGAGGGACGTGGTGGCGCTGCGGGTTAAACCGCAGAAGCCTCTGTGCTGTAAGGTCTGTAGCTCTTCAGCTGTAAGATCGAACACATGTGACAGAATGAGCGCCTGTCGCTTGTCCCAGCTCCCGCCAACCTAGCGATTCAAGAGCATGCAAATGCGAGTAGATAAATAGGGACCACCTCGGTGGGAAGGTAACAGCATTCCATGTCTAAGTCGCACTGGCCATATGACCACGGAAGATTGTCTTTGGACAAACGCTGGCTCTATGGTTTGGAAACGGGGATGAGCACCGTCCCCCTAGAGTCAAACACGAATGGACAAAAATTATCAAGGGGAACCTTTACCTTTACCTAGGTCAAAATAGATACAGTTAGTCCACTTTAAGAAGACATGGTCCTTCAAGTGATTAAAATATACTGTTTGTTGTAGTGTATGTTCTTCCTCACTTACATATCTTTCAATTGCCATGCCTTGTTTTCTTTGGTCATTGGAAGGTAAACGTGGACTTAAGCCTAGAAAGGCTTAACTATTAGGCACATGGCTACTTTTCCACTTTAAAGAGATCCCTATTGGCTTCATCATGCTCTAAGTAAATTGTTTTAAGACTGTTTGAATGTACCTATTTTAATGATATGGGTTAAATCCAACTAAAGTAGACCCACTGAACTTAGGATTTAGCTAAATATTCATTTAATTCTCATCAATTTTGGGGACTAGCAACTGGGCTTAGCCCATGGAGTTTAATATATTTTCCTGTAAAATACCATTTAACATTTCTAAGCATGGTAATTCAAGCTCTTGTTTTTTTATTTTTGTGAAGGCTTAATTTGTTTAGTCACTTGAATGATATTTCATGTTCATTCTGTTTCATATTTTAACTTCAAAGTCCTGAAAGGACACAGAGTCAAAAGGTTAAGCTACTAAAACTAAGAAAAGCAAAATCATTTTTTTTAAAAAAAATTCAGAAGTATATTGTGATGAAGTGCTGTGGTTTACTGTAAAGCAGTTGTGCCAGACAGAGAGAAAGTATACAGTAACAAAAACATGAAATAATGTTAGCCTTCCATAGATTTTCTCCAGGGGGCAGTTTTGTGTTTTGTATTGAGGTAAATGAGAAAATGGTATTAATGATTCTTCTGAAATTTGCAGAACAGAATCATAGAACTGTTCGAAGGATACCCCAAAGGAAATCCACAGTTCAAGCCCACTGTGGACAGATGGCCATCCAAACTCTCTTTCAAAAAACTTCTAACAAAGGACAGTCCATCATCTTCTGAACTAAGCTGTACCTTCATATAGAAAGGAGATGAATACCTGGCATACATCCATTATCTGGATAGTATCTTGAAAGATGGCTGTTTGTCACCGAGCTTCTCAGTGACAAGGAGGTTACCAAATCCAACACTGATGTCAAAAATCTTCTACCCATTGACATGAGCTTACATCAGAAAATTGAATCTGGGCTATTGTATATGCATACAACATAACTGGAAAGAAAAGAAACAGATAATGTTTCTAACTATAATAATATGGACATTTCTCTTACATGTGAATGGCAAAAAGTCCTGAAGTTAACATCCAGTGTGCAAATGTTTTAGGCATTTAACATTGTCCAGGGATGCCTTTCCCTCTGCTCTGGCACCCTCAGAAGTATACTCAATAGGGACACAGGAAAGAGCTTCCCTGGGGACTGGAAATTTCAGTCAAAGGAATCTAGGCTGCCTCCCCCCTCCCCTCCCAAGACAAAGACCTTTACTACTATATTCAGAAAGGTCTTTTGCATGTAAGTGGGATTTTACAGAAAATGTTTTTTTTTCTTCTATCTGTTTTTAATTATTTTCACCTATTGTGTGCAACCAAACAATTGTTTCTGGTTTTTTTTAATTGTTGTTAGCTGCTGTGAGCACCTCTTTTTGGCAGAAAAGTGGGATAAAATAATGTAATGTAAGAACATATCAAAACTCTTACATCCAAAGTTAATGATGCTTGAGATAATATGCACAAAAAAGGAAGATGATGTTTTTAAGGAGGTGTGTTTACAAAACAATGCAAATAAATTGGAAAGGAACAGGACTCTAGTTTAAACTGATTGGTGAAAGAAAGAAAGAAAGAAAGAAAGAAAGAAAGAAAGAAAGAAAGAAAGAAAGAAAGAAAGAAAGAAAGAAAGAAAAATTTTGTGCTGATTTGCCCTTTTTAAAATAGCCCTGTCTGAAGCACTCTGAGGTTTAGAAGTTTAGGGGGGGGGGCGTGATATAAAAAACTGAATTGAACATTACTGCCTAAAAACTAACTGAAAATAAGAGGAGGAAATAGCTTTCCTTTTAATCATCTCTAAACAGGACTAAAGGACACATTTGTATATTCTCACCAGTGGATAGTTTGACACTTTGGTTCGTATAATGCCCCCCTTTATATATTATGTTTGCTTTTTCTTTTTTCTTAAACGGGCACATTTATATATCAGTTGGTGTGTGTGTTTGTATAGAGTTGAATGACTAGCCATACACACACAGCCATGCATTTTGCTGTTGTTAGGACTGTTGCGCTCATAGTGGTTACAGATTTTCCAAAGGTAGTGTGCATTTGAAAAGCTAAGAAAAAACTGGTCTTGTTTTGAGTTTCCAAATCAGAACAAGAATCGTAGCATGAATAATCGGTATGTATCTCTTTCTGGTGTCATTTCTTCAGACCTTAACAACACAGAGACTGTTTTGTTCTCTGCGTTTGTGCCACTGACAAAAAAGAAAGAAAGAACAGGAAGACAAAAACCTCATCAAGGCATAAAGGAATTAATGACAAAGCCCAACATTTTATTACTTCAGTACTTTAGAGAGGTGTCTCTAATAAGATGGAAGAAGCCTTAAGGATTCACAAAACCTGAAGATCCACAAAGCGTTTATTCATGACAGATAGATAGTAAGCAGATGGGCCCTTTTAACGACTCCTCTTTATTCTTGCTATTTCAGTATTTCAACTTGTTCAGAGTTGTCCCTGAAAGATGTATGGAGACTTCTGCCATTTTTCAACGATCCTTTAGAAACATTTATTTCCACAGCGCGGAAGGGGACAGAAGGACATGTTTTATATTTTTAAAAAGACCAGCGAGTGAAAAATAAACCTAACGTCTTCCCCCTCACCGCAAAAAAAAAAAAAAACAAAAAACAAAAAAAACCCACAAACTACTTCCCTTTGGGATGGGCGGGAAAAGCGCACCCTCTTGCCCGGGAAGCGGCAGGCCGTTTCCCTCTCTGCCTAATACTGAATGTATAGCTTCCCTTCGTGCCTGCAGGCGAAAAGAAGATTTCTTTACTGAGATGCAATCAGCTCTGACCAATCAGTAATAAGGGTTAATCAGCTGATCGATTGGTCCCTGAGCAGCTTTGGACCTGGCTCCTCTCTGACTGGCTCTGGCCTGGCCTTCGGGCAAGAGGTTGGGAACTTTTAATTAGCAGCCGCAGCGGCGACTCCACCGCCTGAATGGTCAACAACGGGTTCGCCGGGGAGGCTGAGCGGCTGGAATAATAATAGGCCACAATGGAGCAAGGCGGGAGGGCAGCCAAAGACGCGAGGCGATGCCGGGCCAGAAGGCAAGAGGAGGGGGGCTGATCACAGGACGGACCCCTCCCGAGAGGATCCCCTTCGCTGTTTGCTGCTCCTCACAGCCAATGCTTGTCGAGGCCATTTTATCTGCGCTGAAGGATCTGAAAACCTGTTTATGGCCGGCTGGGAATGCTCGTTGTGGAAAGGCTGACCTTAATAGGCAATAACATTACTGTATAGACAAAAAACGATAACGGTGCCTCCCCACACACGCTTTCACAAAAAAAAAGCAAAACAAGTGGGTGGGCTTGAGGCGGAGGTCACGTCGACTTTTTACGTCAGATACAAAGAGGTTTGGGCACCACCAGTGTGGTGTGGTAGGCAGAGTGAGGGACAAGAAGTAATGAGACCTTGGTTCCGTTCCTCAGTTCTTCCATAGAAACTTGGAGCAGAACCATCTTGCCTCCAGGTGGAAAGGCCTGAGGGGGGGAATGGAAAAATTGGGGGGGGGGGTGACAGCTTTGTTCCCATTTTTTCCCCAAAACCGTTTTATAGGGCTTCAACATTTCTGAAAGTTTTACATCTCTAGAAATGCCTCACCTTGGAAGTC